CAAATTCAGAGAACTAAATGTAGTTTTTACTTTCATGTTCTTGAACTTTTGTTCTTTAAATTTTATAGAGTTATAGACACCACAGCGATATAAATGCATGTAGACAGTAGCGTTTCATGACAATTAACGATTGTTTTATTTCTCTGCACCTTTTGTTGGAGATTAGCTTGAGACCGTACACCAAGGGGTTAGGGTACTCATCATAATAAAGTTGAAATTTTAAGACGAAATTTCAAGTCCTAGCCCTTGTTTGAGCCTCATTCTTCTAAAAATTCATTTTTTTGAAACTCATTTTCAACCACATAGTTTTCAATAAAATAATATTACACGCAAACCAAGAATTTTCTTAATTTTTAACCACACATTCTCCATCAATCTACTATTCAAAATACATTCTTCCCCCAAAATATAGCTCAAACAAGGGTTTAATATAGTATCAGAGTCTATTATACTCCAAAGAGCAATTTGATCTGATTAAAATTCAAAAAATGAGTACGCGAATTTCAAGATTAATTTACTCAAATGAGCCACTATCTTTCGGACTGATGTTAAGATATAAAATTTTACATCGAATAAAGATGAAAACGTAGATCAACTTATAAGAATTTGAACTCCTCCTCCTAAAACTGTTGACCTATTAAATTGAGACCCTAAGTCTTAATAGGTTTTCTATCCATGATTAATGAAACATGTCACAAAGAAAAACATTATTGAATCTTCAAGTATTGTGCGTAAATGTATTTAACATTGCTGTCATTTTATCTATATGGCTTCTTTCTCTTACTTTTACGGAGTTGACATATCACAGCCATTTGTTTCTGGCTACATTGATGTTTTACAGAAAAGGAGCACCTCTGTCTCTTTGCGTTTCCGAATGAAACATGGCAAGTCAAGCCGCCTACTGAGATGGTGCCTCCTGAACTTCCCGAGCCGGTTTTGGGTATAAACTTTAGCAGAGACTTGATGCAAGAAAAGGATTGGTTAACAAATGTTTCGCTTCACAGTGACTCGTGGCTACTATCTGTTGCATTTCACATGGCTACAGACTATGGATTTGATAAGAGTGAAAGGTAATATATTTGTTGGATTGTTGTCATTTCTGTGAACTACTTTTGTTGTGTGGCATTATATTTGTAGATGTTGGGAAATTTGCATCACCGAGGAATTTGGAGAAGAACCAATAACCAAAAAATAAAGAAGATGAAATGAAGAAGATGAAGAACATAATGAAATGAAGGCTCGAACTCGTAATCGCTGTCCTCAAACTATATTTGCCTCCTCTCGAAATTGTTTGAGATGCTTAAAAAGATTTTAGCAAATGGTTTGTAAGATTATATCAAGCCTTATAAAGGATCTAGCGCTAAAACATAAGCGTGATTCTCCAAAACTTTAAGAACACAAGGAAAATTTGAATATAAATAAGGAATCAATGGTTTGATTTCATGTGGAATAATATTTGGATCAAAAGGTGTTTTTCTCATGTTTGTAACGGTTTTTTTTCCACACCCTAGAAATGATCACAAATCACCTATATATAGCCATGGATGATAGCTACTCGAAGTGGTGCCAAACATAATATTGATTTTGAACAAATTCTCAACAGTAGACACTTATATTTCCAGCTTTTGATCTACAACTTTTAGTAGACTTTCTCGGTAGCAAATTGAGCTTTGGTCATTGTGACCATATGATATGATATGAAACTTGTGAATCTTTGTAAATTAGTTATTTCTGCCAAAAGCACAGATTCCAAATGTATGCTACGGTACTTATGCGACAAGAATTTTTGAAGCCATTCCAAATCGAGAAACCATGTTATCCAAATATATTTCAATAGTAGTAAACCCTGAGTGGGTTTGTGCCAACATTCATTAATATACTTCGAGTATTCCCCTCGATGCCTGCATGTTACTATCTTTGTTTTTGTTCTTCTTAATATTTTCAGGAGTACGGGAGACTTTTAACTATATTTGGTTCCAACCTTAATTAAAATTGGTTTTCACAGGGAAAGGCTATTTAAGATGATTAATGATCTCCCCACAATTGTTGAAGTTGTGAGTGGAAATGCGAAGGAAGAAGTTGACGAAGAGGGAGCAACACTATGTGGAGCTTGTGGAGCCTATTATGGTATCGATGGATTCTGGATATGCTGTGATTTATGCAACAAATGGTTTCATGGCACATGTGTGAAGATTACCGCTGCTGAAGCTGAGTATATCGAGCACTACAAGTGCCCTACTTGCAGTAACGAGGGGGCTAAAGTTTGATGCACTGTTTCTGATAAAGATCAAGTTCAGTTGATTAAAAGGATTAGAAGTTTTGGTTTAACATGGTGAATTATGGGTTTGAATTGTATTGTATTCTTTTGGGATCTTTGAATAAAAAAAGTATCTGATTTCAGGAATGTATTTACTGCATCTGTACTACTAACCAATAACTTGGTATTCAGTTTTAATATACCCATTTTGGCATCCAACAAGTACGCAAAAATAGATAGCAAAATATCCACAGGATGTACTATATTAAATGTTAGTCCTTTAACCTTACTCTTTCCTCTCCTCTTGCATCAGTTGCATGACACGACCACAGACATTTTCAAAGAGAAGCTCCAAATCCAATATTTCCTTCTTTCCCAAATTTACAAGGGGTTTGTCCAATGCCCACCACCATTTAATTTTCCATTTTCACTCATCTTGTACGTGCCGTCCACCTTTCTTCTCCACCTCAGGTCCTTAATGCAACTATTCTCAACTCATGATTTTAGCCAATTAACCTGGGCCTTAGTGATCTTACACAAAAGTTGGTTGTGATGGAAAAATTAGAAGTACCCATTGCTTTATAGGCTTGTAACTTGGATATAAACTCTTCATTTGCTACTAATATGGTAGAAAGAGTATTTTCTGCAATGAAGATGATCAAGAATCGATTGCATAATAGGATGGGAGATCAATGATTAAATGATAGTTTGATATGATGGTGTATGTTGAGGATATCATGTTTTTGATAATTGTTAACGATATAATTATACGATATTTTTAAAGTATGGAAATGTAGGTATTTATTGTAGTAATGTAGTAACCTATTTCCATTAATATTATATTTATTTTAAAAATTTCTATCACGAATGTGATAGAATATTGTTCAATATATATGTTAAACAATCCAAAGAAAATAAAGAAGAAAAAGGAAGAGGCTAGAGTTTCATTGATACTACGTAATTAATTGAATGCTGAAGATTGTTTAACTTAAATACAAAGAGAATATATATAGGCTAAACAAAGAAAACTAAAAAGGACTATTCTACCCTTAATAAATAATGAATAATTCTATATTTCTTAACATCTCCCCTCAAACTCACGATGCAGTAGCTACAAGTATCGAGAGTTTGCCAACTAAAAAACGAAAACGAGAAATAGAATGTGATTTGGTAAAAAAATTTGCAAGCTACACAGAAGAAGAAACAAAGGACAAAGTAATTGTGCCATGCTTAAGATGATGACGAGTAAGATGACAATCGATCTCAATGTGCTTAGTTCGTTCATGAAAAATCGAGTTGTGAGCAATCTAAATAGAACTTTGGTTGTCGCAATACATAGGAGTGGGATGAGAAAGAAAAACTCTCATATCTACAAGTAACCAACGTAACCAGATGCCATAGCACGATATTCTGCTTCGGTGGAAGATTGAGAAACAATAGATTGTTTCTTTCTTTTCCAAGAAATAAGAGAATCACCCAAAAAGATACAGAAACCAGTAACAGACTTGCGATCTGTGGGATCACTGCCATGATCAGCATCAGAGTATGCACGCAGCTCCAATGAGGAGGTGGATGGAAGTAACAGACTCTGAAAGACTGTACCCGAAAATATCGCAAAATGCGAAGAACAACTGCCCAATGAACTGTAGTGGGAGAAGCAACAAACTGACTAACAATATTGAAAAAGCTATAGTTCGACCCAACTAACATCTAGAGGGGGGTGAATAGGTGTTTATGCGGAATTAAGGCAATTAATTAACTTATGCAACAAGTCACATAAATTATGCATTGTCCAGATTCATTCACATACTTTATCTACCTAAGTTGAATTACCGATTGAAAAGTAAATAACAAAAACCAGTAAAAATGCCACAAAATGTTGACGGAGAAAACCCAACTGGGTAAAAACTCCGGGCACAAGCCAGTAGAGATCCACTATAGAAGATGTTGACTTACAGTACGCCAGACATTATTGATTCTAACAATACTCTGACCTCCTTACTGTATCGACCACAGCTATCCTAGATTTTGCAGATCTGCGCTAAAATCCCAGCCTTGAATATCTTCTACCTCTCGTGAATCACCAAGCACTCCAGCTCTTCAAGCAATTCCCTTCTCGGATCTTCAAACTGACGACCTTCTGGAAGTTGATATGGAGATATGAAAGGGTGTTTTGGTTTTGAAAGGGTTGATATTTTTATTCAAAGAACCATGAGAATTAAAAGATGAAAAGAATGAATATTAGGTTCTTAATCCTTTGGAAGTTGAGAGGAATTCCTGTTTGAATGTTTGCCAAAGGTCATTTACGAAAATCGGACGTTTTGTTTATATAGTAGGTTGAATTTGGTAATATGGGGCGTTAAAAATTCGCGAGGCATTAAAATTACCAAAGGACAGATAACACCGTCGCTCGAGCGAGGTGCTGGCGAAACTCGAGCGACGCACCTTCGCTCGAGCGACAGCTCAGCGAAACTCTAGCAACGTTTGTTCTGCAATTTAGGTTCGAGCGAGGTCAGGGCGAAACTCTAGCGAAATCAACGCGCCGTTTGCATCTTCAAAGCATCCCACTTTACCCTAGACCTATGCTATGAACTTTGCTAAATTACAACTTTAGTCCCTGAACTATTAGACCTTTACAATTTGGTCCTTGACTTTACAATTTTGACAAATAGGTCCTTTGGTCACAGATTGTCAATTACACATTTTCCTAACAAACTCCCCCTTTGGCATTCTGTGACAAAAATAAATATGACAGTCAAGGACATAAATAAAAATGACTCCAAACAACCTATCTATTCAACCAAAGCAGCTATCTTTTGTTGAACCTGTTTCCTGAAAATCAAAAATTCAAATACCAAGTATAAAAGCATGTGAAATGGAAACAATAAATAAAAATAAGAAATAGATCATACGTCATTAACCAGATTAAGAAGCAATAATAATGTAAGTCAAAAACACCAAAAACATACATTAATATTGCCAAAACATCAAAAACTTAATCTAGTCATGAATTATAAACACATCATTTTTATATCACAATTACCAAAAAATCGATATCTATCTATCCAACTCTATCCAAAATATCTACTCCCCCTTTTTGTCACGAAGGACAAAGGATCAAAAAAACAATCAACTAACTAACTACGAGGCAGCACCTCCAGCATCCGAAGACTTAGCACCGCTCTCGCCACTCGTGCTCTCCTCCATACTATCACGAATCCAGCGCAAATGTCGCTGAAACACGACAAGAGCACGGCGAAAAGTAGAAAGCTTAGCTGACTGACGCTTCGAAGCAGCACGTAACTGCGTGATCTCAGCCATCATACGAGCCTGCTGCTCGACCGGTATAGACATCTGTCCTATAAGCGTCACCATGGGGTCAACGGGCAAAGCAGCCACCCCAGGAGCAGAAGTAGATGTCGAAGGAAAGGTAAAGCTAAACGGAATAGCTAAAGGAGGATTGAAACGAGAAGGAAGAAAGACACGAGAACCCCCAGTAAGAATATCAGTAATAGGATCAAGGGGCTCCGAAAAATCAAAGACATCAACAAGCTCAGCCTGAGCCGCAGCATGAGCAGAAGAGGAAGAAGACGGAACATGGGATCAACTCTGATGAATGGTCTGCTATCCTATTGGATGTCCTATGCGACTAGTCGAACCCTCTGGAAAAGAAGCATCTAAAGATAAAGCAACCCTATGAATCAAGCAAGCATAAGGCAACCCGATCCGTCCCCCAGGAGTACGAAATGAAGCCAGAATCTGCTGGCACACAAAACTAGGAAGGTCGATCGAGTCCCCATGAAGAAGGGCATATAGAAAACGGGCCCTCACCATAGGTAAAGAAGACGTGTGGCCAACAGGCCACAGGTTTGTGCACACGATGCGCAACAAAATCTGACGATCAGTGGGTAAAGAACCCGTGGCCATTGTCGTAGGCCCCTCGATAGACAGGGTGTTCAAAAGCGTCGACCGAACAAGGGCATCGGTCGGAATAAAAACAGGTAGAATATAAGGAAAAGTCGGATGGGTAATCTGAGGTATACCTAAAGCATGAGCTACTGCTAATGGAGTAACCCTAAAAGAATGACCTCTAAGAAAAACCCTAAACGACGAGCCGTCTATATCATGAATATTAGCATAAAACTCCTGAACCAGGAGTGGGGGCGGAGGTGAAAGACCAACAAGAAGGGGCTCCCAACCCCGGGAAACAAAAATGGCGGCTTTATCAGCAGGAAGGTCAGATAAGATTACCTCATGTTCCACGAGTACGGGGCGTAAGGAGAACTGAGAAGTGAAGACCTCCTGAACTGTAGCAGAAATGAATCGCGATCGACTATACGACGTCGAACCACTAGCCGGCTGCGCAGAGGGTCGAGAACGCTTACGGGCCATCTGGCACACGTAGAGACGAAACTAATGAGTAACATGAAGAATGCACGTAATATGATGCAATGTGAAATGAAACACTGCACACACAAATGAGGCACGAAAGAAATGCATCAAAAAACGTAAACGACCCTAAGAGCAAACCAAGCATGACGAAAAGATAAACCTAAAATATGTCCAAAAGCACTCAACATGGCACATGACAACAATGAAACAAAGACGAAATGGAAAGAAGGAAAACAGAAACACACAAAAAAAAAGGGGAAAACAAAAGTCATATACCTAAGGACTTTCATTGAACACGTGGTGTGCGACACTTTGGCACACAATTCCAAGCACATACGAGACGCAAACACACAACCAAGCATAGTCCCACAAACTAGAAACCATGGTCTTTAGAATGAAACAAACCACACAAGAAACGGAGTAACGAAACGCAAGAACGAACAACACGAACATGGACGAAAAACATGAAAATTCCATTACTAAACCATAGAAGAACACACAATTTAATGTAATTTGTGATGCAAAATGTGAAGAATAACAAACAAGAAACACATGAAGATCATAACAAGGGAAGAAGAAACAATCAAAATTAAAAAAAAACTAAACACAAGAGGGAAAAAAAAAACGAAAAACAATTACCTCAAAAACGCTGTGTAAATGTTGAAATCCGGA